TGCTATTTTGTGTGCTCCTTTGAATTTTCTTTGCTCAGTAATTAGCTGAATCTGTTAGTTTGAGAACAGTTGCAAGTTGGCCTAAGATTATTTACATTTCTTTGCTTCATCTTTATACTCCAATGTCATTGGTCATGAAGAGCTTGAGCAGTAATAATAAGAATTTGATAGAGGAACATGAAGAGCTTGAGCAGTACTAACAAGAATTTGATAGAGGAAAATAGAATGACCCTTAGAGGGGTGCACATGTATACTGATAAGTGAAGTGATAGATAACAGTGTCATCAACAATTATAATATTACTTGGATCTTGGATTATTCAAAATAAAATTCGTTCAATTCCAAATTCAAAATATCAATTGGATAATGCAATACAGTGGTACCAAGTCAAAATGAACAGATGTTGGAGGTTTAGTTTTGAAAATATATTTTGAGTTTTCTTTAATGGAAAGGGAATACGGTTACTCCTTGTTTGCTAAATAATTGTACCCTTTTTTTCCTATGTTAAATGTATTTGAGAACTATTTTATAAAGCACAACAAACCAGATCAAAAGCATTGTCCAAAAACTAAAAATATAGATAAATAAAATATGGGGTTTTTATAAAAATGCCTTTTAAAAAAATATATAATATTAAATTATTATTATTATTTTTATTTATTTATTTTAAAAAAAAATTAAGATATTTCAGTCTTCAAGTAGAAGAATTGTAATTTGCTCTTGTCGCAAAGGATACTCTTCTTCTTCTTCTTCATATTTTTTTTTTTTTTGGGATAAAATCTCACAAACTACGCATACTTTATTCTTTTAGAGGCTTAAACTCTTGTCATTCACTTTCAAAATTAGACGAGATATCACTTAATCACAAAATTCTTGATTAATAAATATAGTATGTATGTCATTAATGTGCAGTACTCCGAATACGTACAGATTGTAAGAGATTGCAGTAACTTTTTCTCTCTTCCGTGTAAAAGAGAAATGGAAGTGCGCTTTTTCTCTCTTCTGTCAAAAAATCTCAGCCTTTTCTCTAAATCTTTTTCTCTCTTGACAGTACTACATCATCTCTTCCACCTTTTCCATCACCTCTGCTACCATCTCTTTTTCTCTCTCATCTTCTCTCTCCATACTAACTTCCGCGCTCTACAAAAAAAAAAAAAACCCCTTTTATTATTCTTATTGAATTTCTATTGAATTTATTTATTAAGAGTAGTAATTTTTTCACAAGACTATTTAGCCTAACCTATCTACAAAACAAAATGATGGAAATGAAGAAAATGGTGATTTATTTAATTAAGAAAAGTGGAGCAATTAATTGAGTGGGAGGCGGACTGTTGTTGAGAGGTTGAGTGTCATTAAATAGTATGAGATTCCGTTGAGAGAATTTATACTCCTATTTTTCTCTCTACATAAAAGCTCGCCAAATTTTCCAGGAAACAGTTTGCTTGCTTAAATATGATCATTGAATGAAAGGAAAAAGTACCCTAATTTTTCAGGAAACAGCTTGCGTTCTTAATTATGAGCATTGAATGAAAGGAAAGAGTAGATGGATTCTTTGAGAAAGCCATCACATATATATATATATATATAGAGAGAGAGAGAGAGAGAGAGTAAAGGAAGAAAACAAAACTGGGCCATATAGACTTTTTTAAATTATATTATTATTTTTCTTCAAGACCATAATAGACCGACCTCAATTGACCAACTTGGTGGATTCATTGATGGTGACGATGTACTAGACAAGAAGAATACAGCAACTAAGCTATCAACTGTTGTCACTTAAACCTTTCTTTTTCTCTTTTGAATTTGATGCAAGGGTTTTGACTGTTGACTGGATTGGATTAATAGATTAGAAATAAAATGGGTTAAATACGAACTATAGAGTAAGATACACGGTTTTATAATTTTTATCTTAGTTTGTAGACCATCCTCTGTAATGCTTGCATAACAAGCATTTCTGCCGACCCAGACCATAATTCTTTGGCTATAAATAAGCCATTGAAATTCATGTTTGAGATCATCAATGTGATTGAGTTTGTAATATCAGTTTGAGTGAGAGTTAGTTGGTTGTAATTGAATTTTGAGGGTGAGCCACTATTCAAAAAATAAACAACATTAATCACATCACATGATCCGTTAATTTTAGCAAAGATTTGTCCATTGAAATTTTCTTTGACTACTCAAATTTTCCATTTATGGAAAATGAACTTATAGACTCCAAATATTCAATTTATTCATCAGATAATTTTAGCAAAAAGCAAAAAATTAATATTTTACCAATTACAAAATTATCCTCAAGCACAAACCTGAATATTATAATTTAATTCAAGTCAATTTATAAAGATTACATTATGTATTAAATTATAATTTAATTCATTTAATTTAAATAAATTTTTTTTTTTAGTAGAATTCACAATTTGGTAAAAAAAAGAAGAAGAAGAAGCTAAATATGTCATTAAAATATCATTATTTATTTCATATTTTTTAAAAAAATTGAATTATTCTCATACGTCAAAAAAATTGATTAATTACTACACAATTTAAATATAAAAATTAACAACAATTAGGATACCTAATAAAAAAATTTTCCAAATATGTTTAAATGGCAAACTAACAGATTTTGAATAACTACTAAATTTTGAATAAAATTCTAATTACAAAAGTTTAATTCTTATTTTGAAAAATGGTATAAATAAAAAAGAGATTGATTCAAAACTCAATTGGAAGAATATTTTCAAAGTTAGATTTATTGTATTTTTAAAAAAACAAATAGAATGAAAGACATTAGTGTTTAAAAAAGGAAATGCATAATTTGATGGTAATTTTTTTTAAAAAAATATTCTTTTTAATGTCTTCATTCATAAATTATTTAAAATTTTAATTCAATTATTTTTAGTGGATGAGTAAATGGCTGGAGTTCAATTATTTAGCATGTTTAGCGATATTTTTGAAGTAACAACACATGTTTTTGAGGGATAATTTTGTCATTATGTGCAGGAAGATTGCATGCGATGAAGAAGAACTAGGACAACTCATTGCTGAAACAAGAGGAATTGAATTTGATTGATGCCCCCTTGAAACTGATCGTTGACTTTTAAGTGCCATAAAACAATTTTTTGTGTTGGCTTTTGATATAATTCAAAAAAAAAAATGTTACTTTTTATAACTGCCCTATCAATCACACATGGCATCCCCGCATGTTTTATATATATATATATATATCTGTGTGTGTAAAAAAAATATTAATGTTTTGATAATCAGTGCATTTAAATTATATTCAACCATTACAATGGTTGAAAATTTTCTTACTCACACACAAATAATCATTATTGTGCATGTATAAATATATATTGACGCTTGTCCCTAAATAATTCAGAATAATAACTTTTTCAAACTTCACAAGTGAGATAAAATCAACATAACATTTTATATATCACATAAAAGTCTATCTTCATGAAAAAAAAAAAAAAAAATATGTGCATCAAATTTAAGCAAGATTCACCGGCATCCAAGCATCCCCTTGTAAGATGAGAATATCATTAAGCACTGATTGAGAACTTAAAAAAAATTACAAATTAAATTAAATTGGTTCGGTAATTGGAGATAGCTTATTTTCAATTTAGTCTATCCATCTTAACCATGAGTATTCACACCAACCATGGTCACTTTTGTATGTAAAATGAAAAAACAAAAAGCAAGGAATTAGTAACGGTATATTATCATGATCACTTTTGTGTGCAAAATGAAAAAACAAAAGCAAGGAATTAATAAGTAATTGTGTATTATCATGGTCAATTTTGTATGAAATATATATATATATATATATATACTATTTAATATGCAGTTATTTTTCTTTGCTTTCTGTTTTTTCATTTTACAGGTAAAACTTTCATTTTTCATACAAAAGTGAGGTAAAACTTTCATTTTACATACAAAATTGACCATGATAATACACAATTACTTATTAATAATAGGTTAGACCGTCCAAAAAAAGGGATTGCAAATTAGAACATTTATTTTTATATTTTTGTTAGGTAAATATTGTTCACGGATTGCAAATTATATTAACTTAAAAAAAAAATCAGAAACTTAGATTTAATGACAAAACACAGTAAATCAATATTGTTTCGCAAAACAGATTTAATGACAAAACAGAGTCAATTTGTTCTACAACACCTCAAGGTATTGGACGAAAATGAACAAATGCTCGACATCAAAAATGAACAAATGCTCTACATCATTCTCACTACTGTCAGTGTCACCTTCCCCTGCCTCTGAAGGAATTCCGAATTCTGGAAATTAGGCTGCGGCTTGATGATGACCTTACTGCACTTGGTCCAATAGAAACAGGCAGCCTTAGACTTTGACTTGCACCTGGTGTTCTTATAAGGGCCGCATTCAAAACCAATTTACACTAATGTAATTCTATCTGCAATGACTTGCATAAATGCAAGTCTATCTGCTAAGAATCGGTAGTGGGCTTAATCTACATAATTAATCAAGAAAAAAACAAAGATAAAGAAAAGAAGAAGAAAAAAAAATTAAAAAGCAATAATAAATATTACCTTGGCGATGCGCATAGTTGAATATCATGGTTCCAATTGTAGAAGACACTTCTTCAGTAAACCCAATGTTTTCTTAGGCATAATAACTTTTAGTGCTACTAAAAGGTGGAGTGCCAAGACTTGTGACAAAAATGAACCAGAAAAGTGTTGTTCTCATTCATGGTTTAAATTAGGGCTGCAATTTGGGTTGGCCCAACCCAACCCAGCCCAAACCCAACCTCAATCCGAATCGGGTTGGGTTGAGCCAACCCGAATTGTACTTAACATGGATTGTGGTCATAATCTGGACCGAATATTTTCGGACGGGCTGGGTCGGGTTGACGGGTTGATTTTTTTTTTTATATAATTTTTTTTTTTCATAAATTTATATATATATATATATATATATATATATATATATATGTATGTATACTATATATATTTGATTATATTATTATTAAAAATATATATATTTTTAGGGCAAATTATTTCAGCCTCCCAATCGCGTCCATCTCTATTATCGCTCTCCCAATCGCGTCCATCTCTATTATCGCTCTCACCTCTGAAATTGCCCCCTCTATCTCTCCTCTGTGCAACTACAAACTACAAAATCAACAAAAATCAAAATCCATATATTTCAGTTTATTTATGTGTTACCTATGTCAAACCCATATCAGCATATCAAAACCCATATACTTTTTCTTCTCCGAGATATGGAACTGGAAGGTTCTTTAATGGCAGATTTGAAGAACACCACCAACTCCATTTCTTAGAAGCCTGTTGTCTCTGTAAGAAATCTCTTGGTGATAATAAAGACATCTTCATGTACAGGTTAGTAATCCATGTTTTTATTTTAAAACCCAATTTTTAGTTTGCCTTGTCTGTATATATGATTGTGTGTGTGAGTTTATATATTAATTTATATTTATACACCATTTGGCGGCAGAGGCGGATCGACAGCGGCTTAGGGCGAGCAACGTCGGCGGCGACGATAGCAGAGAGAGAGAGAAAGAAGAGAGAGGAGAGAGAAAGGAAAAAAAAAAAAAATTAATTTTCGGTTTCGGGTTAGGTTCGGGTTGAGTCTGAGCTCAACCCGAATATGTCTGGGTTTTGATAAAACCCAAACCGAACATGAACCCGATTTGTGAATTGTATGTCCAAATTTCAAAATTTATGGGTTGGGCTTGGGCTAGGCCGGGTTAGCCCGCCCAAGTTGCGGCCATAGTTTAAATTATAAGATTTTTGGTTCTTTAGTGGATGTTAGTGGGCTATACTTTTTATTATTTATTTATTTAAATATTTTTGAGAAGTATGCAATGTTTCTTGTATTTTTGTACTTGTTTATATTAAAAGTGTTATTGACTAATGCAAATGATGTTCAAAATATTTTCAAATACATGAAAAAAAAATAATAAATATAATGCAATATCCTTTATTAACAAAAAAACAATCCTAAAAACATACCTGTCTTTTGCCGACTCCACCCATTCCCAATAAACTTTTTCCTTTTTTCAACAAGTGAACCTAGAATTTGAGAGAAAATAAGATAAATTTTTTATTCATCACTTATTTTTTATTCATGACTTAAGCTAGCATTCCAATCATAAAGATATATAACATAATAACAACAAGAATTATACAGTTGAAGATAGCTCATAAAATCTGTAAAAATATATGTCATTATAAAACTTAAATCGCCAATTAAGAAAAGCATGTATAGTTGTAAATCAATACCCGGAGATTGAGAAGGCATAATGCTCGTTGATCCTTTGATAGTTGTTATAGCCACAACTTTAATAGAAATTCAAAAACCAAGAGCTTTCTCTCTCTTCCAACTACTCTTCGGGTGAAAAGTGGCAGCTGCGAAAGAACAGGCTTTGCAAAAAAATTTTATATAAGCCAATATAAAAAACCACACATGATATTTGCAATATACCCTACATTAAAAGTGTATAAAAATTACATATTTATATAAAAAATATCAAAGCCATCCTAAGATTCACAAAATTTTGAGAGAGATTAAGTGAACTTTCAAATGCGAGACACTTTTAAGTTTCACACGTTCAAAAAAATTATAAGAGTGCGAATTTTTTTTTGACAAGTTGCAAGAGTGCGAAATTTTCACAAGATTTTTTCAAATTCTACAATTAATATAATTATGTGTTGTGCGAATAACTATAAATTTATTAACACCAACAAATAATTGTGTATTTGTACACAATTAACTAATAACTATAAATTTATTACCATCAATAAATAATTGTGTGTGTTCGTGCAATGTGCATAAGATAACTAACTAATAACTATAAATCTATCATCATCAATAAATAATTATTCACCTATGCAGCGTGCATAATCAGAAAAGGAATGAATGTTTTAGTCTTCAAGGAAGATTGAATTCCACTTTCATTATCCATGCAAATATATTTTTCTTGGAATTCATTATTCCTTTATTAATTCTATGGAATTAAAGAATACCCTAAACAGAGAAACCCACGCTGAGAATAACACCTCTGAATTGATCAAAAAAGGAGATAAAAGATTCCATAAACACGCTGAATCAGTATATATATATATATATATATATATATATATAAATAAAGATCAATTTCAGATTGGAAAAAACTTAAAATGAAACTGTTGGATGAGTTACTTACGTGTAATCTTTTCGGCGCTGCTCCTGATGAAACTGAAGCTAATCTTCCAAACACAAACCCTGCCTTCGAGAAAAGGAAATAACTTTACAGCTATTGGTTTCAGGCTTTGAGCTCACGTTCCAATTTTCGTGATTCTCATTCCTATTCAAGTGTCGCTATAGACCCATTTGTTTAACTTACGCCGACGGCTTTATATAAAGCTGGTTGATGGCAAATGTGTAAAACTAGTAGATAGTAATGGGACATTTGACTTGACAACTCAGCTTCAATAAAATTGTGATAGCTTTCTTCAAACTTTGTGATAGCTCTTTTCAAAGACTTTTTATTGCTTTCACAGCACATATCAATGTGTGTTCTTAGTGTGTGTGTAACGATCCACTCCACCACATGATATGATATTATTCGTTTTGGACTTGGACCCGCACGGCTTTACTCTTAAGCTTCACCCCAAAAGGCCTCATACCAATTGAAGGTGACACACTTACATATAAACACTTCACCTTTTCTCTACCCAGGCGATGTGGGACTGTGCACCCGTAGCTCGTTAGTGTGGTAGCCTGACAATGTTTCTCGCACCCGCCCACGGCACACCAGCCCACAAGGTCATCACAGTGTGTGAAGATCTTATGAATGACATCTTTGTCCTTAAAAGGATGGATTTGGGACGAGTCACTACCCCAAAATAAATTTGAAATATTAAGTCCCTAACGAAGAAAAGCCAACATAACAATTAATTATGTCCATTTTTTTATTCTTTTTTAAATTTGGCAAATTAGGGGTTAATTTGGAAAGTAGTATGTAAATATGAGGCTGCTAATATAAATTTTTAAAGGGAAACATGCTCTCCAAACAAAGAATGAAGAAGAAAATGACATGACAGAGAACTGGTGTTATAAGGGATATTTATTTTATATTGGATTTGAATGAAAAGTGTAGAATATATGATACTCTCTCCGTCCTAATTTAACTCTTATATTAAAACCGAGAAAGTATTATTTAATAATTTAAATTTTTAAATAAATGAATAAACAAGGGAGAATATTGTGAGAGACACTTTATTAGTCAAAACTCTTAATTTTACCAATATTTTTCTTTTGTCTTTTAATTTTCTGATTCCTTTTTTTTTGTAGGTGGAGTCTGCGGCCACCATTGAATTAAATTAGAAATGGTTAATAATCAAAATATAGTATGTATATCATTAGTGTGCCGAATGGGTACAGATTGCAAGAGATTGGAGTAACTTTTTCTCTCTCTTCTGTGTAAAAGAGAAATGGAAGTGCCCTATTTCACTCTCTTCTGTCAAAAAATCTCAGCCTTTTACGTAAATCTTTTTCTCTCTCTACAGTACTACATCATCTATTCCATCACCTCTGCTACACCTCTTCCATCTCCTTTTCTCTCTCATCGTCTCTCTCTGAAGAGTGAAGACTTATAACTTCCGCGCTCTACAAAAATGAACCCCTTTGATTCTCTCAATGAAATTATATGCTTTCAAGTGAAATTTCACAGCAATGACAGGTAAAAGTGAAAGAGTGATAATGTGTTGTGGGTATTGTCTTGTTCAGGGGAAACATATAATGTGGATGATACGTTAGTTGTTCAGGGGATCAGAGAGAGAAACAGAGAATCCAGTTCAACGCCTCATAATTTTTTTTAAAAAAAAAAGTGTTCACATCAACGGTCTACATTCATGTTTAGGGCTACTTTCCAATCCACATATGGGATACTGATTTCTCTATACACACGTACTGATCCTCTCCGCACAAAGGCCAAACATAAAATGTGGATCTGGGAGTGCTTATCTGTGGGGAATCCAATCCAATGTTTTCTTCAGCAGTTATAAACTACGGAGTAATTTACAAGGCCCTCTTTAAATACAGGAAATCTCCAGATTTTTTTTTTTTTTTAATGGGGGAGAAAAAAGAAAAGAAATGATAAATTTAGTTAGGTGAGAAAAAAAAAATATATATATAGTGTTAATAATAATTTTTATTTGTATTTGGATAGATACGAGATAAAATAAATGAAATAATAGTTATTGTTGTTTGGATAAAATAGAAAAGAAAAAGAAAACAAAAGATAGTAACCAAATTACTATCCTATCATTTCATAACCACTTCACACATTTTTTGTATATTGATTTGTCGAGAGTATTTTTAGTATTACTAATTAATCACTTGTTCCACTATTTTTTCTTCCTATCTTCTCAAATTGAAAAAGAAACCAAATGAAGGATAGATAGAGATAATTATCTCTCCCTATCACCTCTTTTCTCTCCACTTAACCCACCCAAACACACTCTCATTTTGTCCTTTCTTTTCTTTCCCTATCCCTCCAAACCAACCCTTCCAAACCAACCCTACCAAACACACCTTTAGAGACCAGAGAGAGAAACCAGTATTATAAAATAGCAATTTATAGCACTGTTTAGGCCAAGATTGTCTTTTCGTCAAAGGTTGATTTGTGAAAGCACCATTGGTTACATGTGTTGGTGGTACTGTGAAGTGAGTTAAGAAGGTTTTTATTGTGTTGGTTCTAAATTTATGATTTACCCCAACCTCACAATGAGAGGCTCAGAGCCTTTAAAACCCTAGTGTGAATAGTAGTAGCGTCATGTGTAGTCTTTAAAACATTTCCTTTTAAGTCTTTTAACTTATTCTGTTTTTCTATACACACACAAACCTACCCTCTGAAAACTTTCTATATTTGGATTTGAGAGTAACAAGAGCTGTTGAACAAATTAAAGTACCCTATGTCACCAATTCATTTTTATGTCTCATCTCCTTCTCTCTCATCATGTGAAGAATCTCATTATCCTACTACAACTATTTCTCTTTCTTAATTATGTGACCGATTCATTTCTCTCTCTCTCTCCATCACGTGAAGTTTCCGTGCTCACCACTTTGATTCCCTCATATTTCCTTCTCTCTGTCTAAACCAATCTGCAATTAAAATTTTGTATTTGTATTGGTCATGGATTGATGTGGTCAAAGAAATTTGAGATTTCTTTTTACTTTTGCAATTATCAGGTCAAAGAAAGTAACAATGCTATCAATGGCACTAGCTGTTGCTTTGTTTTTGTTGCAGGCAACTCAGACCCAAGAAAAAATTAGATTTTATAGGAATTTTGTTTTTTTGTGTGGGAAAGTGGCAAGGTATTATAATGATTAATTGGGAAGGGAAAGAATCCTATGTTGCAAATTTGAAATTGATTTTATGATAGAAAGATATATGATATTGTAGGCAAATTTGAATTTCATTTCATGTTTATGAGTCTGATAATATAATTAATGGTTTTAGATAATTGATTTTATGATAGAGAGAAGGGAAAGTATCTGACATTGTAGATAGATTTGAATTTCATTTCATGTGTATGAGTCTCATGAAATAATTAATGATTTTAGGTAGAGGATATGAATACGGAGTAATTGAGTTGAGGCATAATAAACCAGTCAAACTTCCTTTGTCCCAAAAAGAATGTCGTTTTTTAGAATCGTAACTCACAATTTCAGTTTCCAAAAAGAGTTTAACACAAAAATGGAATTTAAGAGAAGACAGGCGCCTTTAAGAGTGGCAGAGGTGGAAGGGTCTGATTATTTTTCATTTGTTTAATAAGACTCAACGTTTTAGAAAATTCTTTCCCTCACCCAGTATATATATATATATAGTAGAAAAAAATAATAGTAAGATATTCTCTCCGTCTCATAAAAAAAATTGTGACTCACAGTAAACCATGACTCACAACTCACAACTGTGAGTTACAGTTTCTCAAATATGATATTTTTAATGGAACGACGGGAATACAAGAAAAATATATATAAAGAAGATTGGAGTAATCCTAATGGAAATTTGGATTGGGCTAGGTGTATAAATAAGGGGAAAAAAGAAATCTGTTTAATCAAAGTAGAATTGCTCAAAAATCTTACAATTATGTACTACATAATCTACATTAGTAGTTTAAAATGCATGTAAGAACATAAATAACTCATTAAATACTGAATAAAGGTTCAATATCAATAAGATTAATTAAAGAAAAATTATTGCAACATCTCCTTTAATGATCACTTTTTATTACTTAATTAAATTTACTTGATAACCAATTTAAATATTACTCTTAAAATAGAGTAAAATTTTAAGTGACATAAATCACTGAAAAATTTAAAAATAAAATAAAAAACTATTTTATTTTTACTTTTTATATTCTATAAAAAAATGTCATATTTGAAGAATAATAATTCAGAAGTATGAATCATGATTCTCTAAACATGATATTTTTATTTTTTATGAGATGAAATATTACTTATGCAAGAAATCACAAAATCCAATGGAGCATTCTCTCTTTTCTCTCTCTTTCTCCCTATCATCGTCACTCCAATAAGAATCTTTACAGTTTATGCTATCTACGAACTTTAATGCAAGGAATCACATCGCGGTACGAATGCCAAATTTTTACAGTCCTATCCTTTGTGTGTTTCAATAATTACATTCCCTACCACAAGCCTTAGTGGATAATAGATGTGGACAAAAACCTTATTGACTCGATAATTGGATCAGGAAAATCAAATTGATATGTTTGGTTTGATTTGTTCACGCTACAATTCGATCGATTTTGGTTATAAAAATATGAAATAACTTATTAACGGTTCGGTCATGATTTAAATTTTTACATGACCAAACCAAACTACTTTATAAAATTGTATATATATTTTGTATTTTTTATAAATAATAAAATTAACTATCTAACCATTTATTCAAACTTGGGACAAGTACCATTTGTTCACGTGCAAAAAAAAAAAAGAAAAAAGAAACCAACTTTACAAAAAAGTAATTTCGTTTTAAGTCTCCTTTTTTAAAAGGTAAGGCCTGCTCTTAATTGTTAAACGTACAGACTATTATGTGTATCTAAAATTTATAAATCATTTTAAAATTTAATGTGATTTGAAATAATAATAATAATAATAATAATCTCTTATATAATATTATATGTAAGATTATACTTTTTCCGTCTCATAGTAAGTGTCGTGTTTAAAAAAGTGAGTCACAATTTTTGTAAATACGACACTTATTATGGGACGAAAGGAATAGTGAGTTTCGATTTTTCAAACACGACACTTATTGTAGGACGAAGGGAATATATAACTTCTTTTTCTTTTCAAATTAATTTTCTTTTACTGGACAAAAATAAATAAGTACTTGGAGCAGTGGAATGACCAATGTATTGGAATATTTTTTTTTATTTATTTAATTTTAAAAATACCAATATTTTAAATTATTAATTTATACCATTGTTTAGGCCAAGATTGTCTTTTCGTCAAAGGTTCATTTGTCAAAGCACCATTGGTCACGTGTTGGTGGCACTGCGAAGGGATTTAAGAAGGTTTTTATTGTGTTGGTTTTCAATTTGGAAAATGATATTTTAGGCAACAAAAAAAACCTAACAAAATGCCGATTTCCACGTAATAATAAATAAATGGTTCTCTCAAGCACTCCCACACCATATTAAATGCAGAAAGTTTCTTTAGACAAAAATACCATTTCAACAATTTTCTTCCATGTCTTCTTCACCTTTTTCTCTCCCGACCCTCTGTATGATTAATTCATTTCTTTTTTTATCGTCTTAATCTTTTTCTCTCTGTACGTTAATCCTCTTTATATTTTTCTTTGAAATTTTGTTCTTTATAAAATATTTTTTCCACTCAAAGACTCGTTACACTGAATGAGATTTTTAGCCTAATCTGTTGTCTTAATATCATGTAAGATTTCCACCCAAGAAAAGAAGATTTTTGATTTGCGATGGAAGATTTTTAATTTTCTTTCACTTCCAACTTTAAAGCAATTAAGATATGGGTTTGTAGGATTTCTGTTATTTTTTTTTCTCTCATCTCTCATGTATACACACACTGAGAAAGAAGAGTACAGTAAGATGAGAGAAAATAATTAACAGAAATCTCACAAACCCAAATCTTTAAAGATTCAATTTCATCATAATTTGAACAAATTTTGCAAATTGGGCCATCAAATTGGTGCTCAATCACGCCAGCGGTAGATATTTACGGTCTCCGCCATGTCTCCAATGATAATTGCAGTTTCACGGTATTCCACAGAGAGGATGTGGAGAGAGGATGGACATTATCTCTTTATTTGGATAGAGATAGAAAAAAAAATCTTCCAACTTTTGTTAACAGCTATATTGGTATGCGGATATCGATTTTTTTAAGTCGGGCAAAATAGCAATACTCTTTGAATTTATGATTTACCCAACCCAACAACAGAAAAATGAGAGCCTTTAGTTCTGAATTTATGATTTACCCAACCTAGCAACAGAAAAATGAGAGCCTTTAAAACTCCAGTGTGAATGGTAGTGTCACGTGAAGTCTTAAAACATTTCCTTAAACTGTTCTTTTTCCATCACCTCAACTACATCTCCTCTTCCATCTCTTTTTTTTCTCTCATCTTCTTTGCCTGTGTCAATCTACTTAGTGTTTTGACGTAAGTTCGGGTTTGTTATGGGTTAGAGTTATTATATCTTCGTCTTGATCGATTTTGCTTTGTTGGTGTTGTTGTTTATGAATATTTTGAGGTGTTTTTCTTCGTTTTTTCTGTTCTGTACTCTATCAGAAACTTAATTTTGTTTTGATTTTTGAATTGGGCTCTTGCACTTTCAATACCATATGAGATTAGTTTTTTAATTGTCTGATCTGTTTGTCGATATTACATCCCCACAAGTTCTAGGGCAAAAAAACCATTCAAAGCCCAATATTTTACATATAAATATGTATTTTTATACCCTTGTTATTTAGAAGATTATATATAAATATGTGATTTTTATATAGGCTTGTATAAAATTCTCTTGCAAACCCTAATCTTTGCAGCTGCCTCTCCGCACGCCGAAGTAGAATAGGGAGAAAGAGAGCTGGGTGGAGATTTTCTTGTTTTTTGGGATTAGATTAAAGTTTTGGCTCTAACCATTATCAAAGCGTCAACGAACATTATGTCTCCCCAGTCTTCAGGTCTTCAGGTAGTTAATTTAATTTCATTGATATCCATGCTCTTCTTAATTGGCGTTTTAAGGTCTATAATGACATGTTTATTTAATTTAGTTTATATATATATATTTATGAACTATCTTCAGCGGCATGATTATTCTTCTAATTATTATGTTAAATATCCTTATGATTGTGATGCTATCTCAGGGCATGAATAAAAATACTTCAACTACTAATGTCAATATTTCAAAAATATTATTTTTTTCTCTCAAATTCTAGGTTTATTCGTTGGGAAGAGAAAAAAAGCTCATGGGAATGGGTGGAGTATGGCAAAGAAAGATAGGTATGTTTTCAAGACTATTCTTTTGTTAATTAAAGATCTTGCATTGTATTAAATTTCTTTCTTATGTATTTGAAAATATTCCGAACATTATTTGCATTAATTAATAAAACTATATTTTATTTTATTTTTTTGGCCAATTGAACTATGACCGCTTGAAAAAGTTTTGAATCAAACCGATTCAATGAGCCTTCAAGTATTAGATGTATTTTTTGTTTTCACATCTGTTTTGTTTTGTTTTTTCATGTTTTGATTTTTTGTTTCATTTTCTCGTCAAACGGTGAGTTTTTTCATTTCACATATGTTTTGTCAAATAGTCAGTAATGTTTTGTACATTCATGTTTTGATTTTTTAATTTCACATCTGCTTTCATTTTCTATGTTTTGTATATTCATGTTTTGATTTTTTGTTTTCACGTCTGTTTCATTTATTTAAACTGAATGTTAACAGCATAACAATATGCCGAGACCCCAAAGCACATTTGGGACTAAAATCCGGTGCGGCGAATGCAATTGTACCTACCTCTGTAGGTTCCGGCGCTGGAACCCAATGCTTTATATATATATATATATAAATATATATATATATTGTCTATTTATTTATTTTTGTGTTTTGATAGTAGTATATTTTTGCTAGTGTGTTGTTTGGGAATGTTACTGTCCAACGATTTAACGCGCTGGCCTTCCTTATCACACGAGCATTAGTGACAACATTCTCAAAACTATATGTAGGGACTATGTGACACATGATTCATATAGCTTTTCAGTATTTTGAGATTATAAATATAAATACTCTTTTTTTCAAATTATCTAGTACTATTTTTTCTCAATACTTTATCCCAAAATAAAATGATCCTTGCTCTTTTTTTCCTATTCAAAATAGGAATTTGGTGAAGTCGGTATAATTTTCCACCCAATATGAGTAGTTAGCACTGTTCTCAAAATATTTGTTGTAAGAACTGAGTGCTATTTGGGGGGCAAACTAACCTTGCCCAAGCTATAACACTAAAATTGTTTTTTCATCAAATAGTGAATAATGTTTGGTGTATTCATGTTTTGATTTCACATATGTTTTCAATTTTGAATATATTTATGTTTTGATTTTTTGTTTTTACAAATCTGTTTCAATTATATAAATTGAATGTTAGGAATTCCGCATAAAATGTCTGTGTGGAGATACCACGCAAGCTTTGGCTACCCAAAACATTCTTGGGACAAAAATCGGTTGCGGGAAATGCAGATGTACCTACCTTTTTTTTTGCAATGACGGCCACTCATCCCAGAACCGGGACCTTTCAAATGTCCTCGAGCACGGGTATGAATGCTTTATATTTATTTTTTTGTTTTATTGTTTATTTTTGTGTTTTGATGGTGATATATTTTTGCTAGTGGATTACTTGGGAATGCTATTGCTTTAACCTCCTGGTCTGTCTGACGTGTCAAACAATGTTGCAGCGTAGGGCACACGTGCTACCAGTGGCAATCGTTCAAGTAACAAAAAGAATCTATTTTGTTACGGTTTATGCTCAAAACTATATGTAGATGCTTTATTTTCAAATCATGTGGTACTATTTTTGAGATTATAATAATTATAAATATTTTATTTTCAAATCATGTGATACTATTTCTTCTCAATATTTTACCCCCCTGTTTTTTTGCCATATTGGTGAAGTCTATAAATTTTCCAGCTAATCTATGTATGCTAGCACAGTTCTTAAAATATTTAAAATTGTTCAAAATTTTCACTGAAATTACATTACTATTTCTATTGAGGTATTATTTGTGTGTATGTATTGTAGGTATTACTTTTATGCACCTAGGTTTCTGTATAATAAGAGTTCATATAGCTTGTGGAATTTATAGATTAATGTTTGCTTTGTACAATTTGATTATTTTGCTTTTTTTATGTCCTGTAGTTGATGTACTAAATACATGTTTTGTGAAAAAAAATTTGTTTATATGGTCATTATTACAATATATGCACTATGAATTATTTGATGGATGATCATTCTATGATATTGTGGATTGAGCAACTTGTTCCTTAAAAGCATGGGATTAATTCAATTGGTGGTAAGTAAGCATTTGATGATATTCAGGAGGTCAAAAGTTTAGAGCTTTGTCATTTTTGCAGATGTTGGTTTTAGTTATTTGTTGTTTGGAGAGTGTGTGATTTGATACTAGGAGGTTTAGAGCTTTAGATCATGTAGAAAAAGCCAATAATGTGGAGGTTGAGAGTTTAATGTTGAATTTATTGTACACACAATTTAATGAAATATTATTTAATAAAGATCCCAATGTTCAATCTTTCCCCCCTAACTGAACAGAAATCCATCAAATTCAGCATGCTAGCTATCTCTCTCTTCTTCTGTTTTTAATTATTCTTGTTTGGGAGATTCAAAAAATTCTATCTACATACTATGTATATTATATATACAGTGAAACATATATATATATATATATATATATATATATATATATATATATACAGAGTTTATTTGGTCACGTAGCTAACATGTGTAACTCCTATTGGATCATGATGCAAAATGTATTTGTAACTCAAATATTAAGCTCGAAACCTCCACAGCCAGTCAATTATTTTAGTTTTTGTTTCTTCTTTTTATTTTTCAATAATTCAAGCTTTTTGAGCAGGGGATTACCACCTGTTGTACCTCCGGACGACTGCACAAAATCATGGGTTTCAGCTGGGAATTTCTAGCTAAGTTTCTGATGCCATCATTGTGGCATCAAACTAGATTTCCTGTTCCCGGATGTGTCAATGCGGCCCCTTCCTCTGCCACTGCAGTTCCTGCCTCCACCACAGTTCCTGCCTCAACCACTATTATTCCCGCCTCCGCCGCGGTTGCCCCTTTAGGCTTTAGGCCCTTTCCTCTGTTCTCGGTAGTTTTAAATGCAAAATGAGACAAGGCAAGACAAGACAAGTCAAGTAATATATATATATATATATATTATATTAACTTTCATCATCAGGTAAAATGCTTAAAAAAAAAAAAAAAAAAAAAAAAAAACCTGAACTATTGGCCTTTTGCAACTAACCTTCTTGAACAACAAAATATCTCTTGAAGTATTAATTTGTTCGGCGAAAAAGTGAAAAGACATCATTACCCTTATTTTAACTATGTAGTCTTGATAGTGTTTAATTGATGCAGATGATGTGGAAAGGTGTAATCTTATGGAGCAATCAAAATGTGATTGCACATACAATCTTATCACTAGAAAACAAACCTTTTCCTTCTCTACCCCTCCTTTGACATTTTCCTCAATTACTTGATGTGTTTGCCATTATCATGATTAGAAAAACAAGAATTCCATTGGAAAGGAGCGGACTTCGGCCACTCAAATATCTCATTGCAAAAGGCAAACGACCTGGTTCTAAAAATTGACTCCACGGCCCATGCAGTCGAATACGACGTCGCGACTTGTGTCTTTATATTTTTAGATATATATATACACACACATAATTGTCATTGTGGCTTGTGTGTATATATTGTGTGAATGGTGAGTGAAGACTGTTGTATATATTGTGTGAATGGTGAGTGAAGACTGAAGAAGATGAATCGGGGATTTTTAGTATTTCAATACATGAGTGTGTGTAGATGGCTCTGTCGTGTGAGTGAAGCCTGAAGATGTATTTCTTTCATCTATTGTTTACAATCCATCAATTGTCGACGGAAGGCTTTGCATCTTCATAGAGATGTTAAAGGCTGGTGAGTTTTTGATGGACTCAAATTGGGATAATTGGAAGCCTAAAAGACTTTTTTCTCTGCTTTTGATTTATGATTCAAGGGGCGAATCAGATTCACAGTGCCGATTTCAATTTGGCCGGTATCATTGGGTTTATCTCACCTCTGCCTTGCTATCATGAAGATAACAAATCCTTTTCAATTTTTTAATGATGGGAAGATCACCAAGATGAAGAGAGAAAAAGATGAATACAAGCTCTTACCAAAATATTTAGGTTTTGCCAATTTAGGGCTAGGGATTTTGGGAAGTTTGTTTTTTCGAAAGTTCACAAAGGGCAGTATTGTCCTTTCATGTGAATAAGGGTACAATTGTCCAAAATTTTCAAAATTTGCATCACGTGATAGCACGTGTTGTTTTTAACGATCATATTCATTGGTGCCGAAACAGATTGGGCAATCTGTAACAAAAATGTATAGTTCAGAGAATTAGTTGCAATTTGTATAGTTAGGGGTTATATTTGCAAAATCCCGGAGAATTTTTTTTTTTTTTTTTTTTTTAACGTTTTACCTTATATCATATTACATTGGACAATTAAGTAATATATATATATATATATATGTAGTAACTAGAAAGCCTTGCAGTACTGCGTGCCAAATAGAGGTTGTGTCTCCACATAAAAACGGAGAGGGGTATAATGCCACAGTTTGAAATCGAATGGGGGGGTTTAGTGCACTAAGGCTATAAAAATATTATTATTTTTGGAGCAGAATAAAAACATGTAATTTAAGTAGCGGACCGGGAAATTGGGAGTAAAAGGCTTTTGTTGTTAACCAACTTCATCTTCTTTCTCATTTATATAATAACTTGTTCTGGAGTTTAAAAAAATTGACTGCTTGAGTAGATAGACACAACGGTTTTGGAGTCGAAAAATTGACTGCTTGAGGTAGACACAAAAATTCACCAATTTTAAGGCAAATTAAGAGTTTTATTATTATTATTTTTATTTTTATGTATGTTCATTGGTGGGGCTACCATGTATACAATACCGCTCTGTTATTATAAACTGGTTCTCATAAGCCGTTGACAATTGCCTTCGGTTGAATATCATCTTTATAAGAATGGCCAGCAGGGCTGTTACCTGGTGGTGTTGGTCGATTAAACTTGGGTTTCCATAAAAGAAAAGCTTGTATTGACTGCTACTGCATTGTAATAAGAATGCATCTAACATATCTAAAAACTGTCGCACAATCATGCGATTTTAATCAATAATGAGTTGTCACACAATTAAATATGTCAACTCTTAAATTGCAAATTTATAATTTGGTGGACTACATGGTCCGTCGATCTTTCTCTCCCTTGCAGTTTTCAAAGCTACCTCTTTATCCACTCCAAACCCTTGTCATGTGAAAAATAATGGAAGGAGGGGATCCAATGGTGCATCTGGTGTACTAACGGCATAGTTTTGATGAGTATGTGTGTGTTTTTAATTTATTTTTTTTTGGGGAAAGGTTTTTCTTTTTTATGTGTAAGCGATCGGCCGCCGTTAGAAAATTTAGACCCAAAAAATTGCATTCATCCTAACTAAGTGGACAATGCTTAGGGAGGACAAAATTTGTTAAAGTTCATATACTTGTTTACAATTAAAGAAAAAAAGAAAAAAAGAAAAAAGATGGACATTACCCATGTTCTTAGGTCCAGCTAGCTAGCCCGGTTGCAATAATGTAGTAAATGACCTCGGAGAGTAGTCTCAACCACAATTCCGAGTGCACTTCATTAGTTGCTCCATGAATACCAATCCCAACCCTTTCTCGGGGCTGGACACCATGGCGACTGCGAATTTGTCTTCCTCCTCGTCTTTCATTTGGTGCTGAAACTACCACCACTACGACGACTCCATTTTGGGAGCTCCGAGAGGCAAAGTTTTCGGAATGTTGGGTTTGTACTCGAAATTCGCGAGAATTAGTTTGTTTTTTCCATTTTGGAAGGCTAAAATTTGTGGAGAAAGTTATATTTCAATATGTTTCTATTTTAAAGTTAAAATTAATATGGTAACTCCCTGTAGGTAAGTTGTGGAATTATGTGTCAAATAAGGAATTGAGTTCTGAAGACTCTATAAATAGAAATGGTTTAGGCAAAAAGGTCAAAAGATAAAAGGTGCAAGGGAAATTGTAAGTGTTACAAGGAGAGAAGATGAGAGAGTATATGTAATTCAAATGGTTGTAGTTTTCAAGTATCCGGTGCCCTTATCCCGAAAAAGAATAGAAGAGTGAAAGAAGAAAAGTGTGAATAAGTATGTGGGGTTTTGACATCTGTGATTGTATATTTTCTTTCTTAATACATAATAGTGAAATAATTTTCTCCATGGACATAACTTGAATTTGGGTAAATAATGTAAAATATTGTATTGTACGTGGATGCGTATGATTGGTATCTAAGTGTTACAAGGAGAGAAGATGAGAGAGTATATGTAATTCAAATGGTTGTAGTTTTCAAGTATCCGGTGCCCTTATCCCGAAAAAGAATAAAAGAGTGAAAGAAGAAAAGTGTGAATAAGTATGTGGGGTTTTGACATCTGTGATTGTATATTTTCTTTCTTAATACATAATAGTGAAATAATTTTCTCCATGGACATAACTTGAATTTGGGTAAATAATGTAAAATATTGTATTTTGCGTGGATGCGTATGATTGGTATCTCTATATATATTTGTATTGATGTGTGATGGGATGATATATATTTTCGTGTGTGTGATGGAGTGATTTAACTCTCAACAACGAACCGTTGAGTGAGTTTTGGTTTGAGGTAATTAATTTTTCCCAACACGAAAACGTAGTTGAATTCTCTTAACATATAGCAATTTGCTTGTATCATTGTGTTCTTCACAACGCATAAAGATATAGAGAGAAATCAATGATGAGAGAGAAGAACAAGTAAAGGATAGCAGTTGTTCTAGCAGAAGTATGAACACAACAGAGAGATACCACTTATATAGTTTGAAAATTTGGGTTTATTTCACAAAATCTTTTTAAGGATTAATGTTTTTAAATGATACCTTGGAACCTAAAATTTTCCAAAGCCTCCTGTTTATCTCAAAATTCCCAATTTTTTTTTATTTAATTTATGGCGAGCAGTAAAGGAGGAAGGTGGCAATAAGTAGTTGATGATGAAGATTGTAGTTTTAGATGGAGGTTGGGTATGGAGATATGCCTCGTTGTGAAGAGAGAGAAGAAAGAAGGTAGAAGAAACAAAAGTAAAAATAACCAGATGGGCAATGCCCATCTTTATGGAATCATGGTCGCAGTGGCAACCAGTGTAGGCTTAACCATGGCTGCCGGTCAAACGGGAGAGCAACACGTGTGCATGATGTCAGATGAACGGTCCAGATTGGAGTACGCTAACACCATGCATGAAGTCGGTGTGTCACCACTACTGTGGCTGTGGTCAAAGAGGCTGAGGAGGTGTTGATTTTCTGGCGGTGGAAGAGAGGCGCAAGGACCTTGCTTAAGTCGGTAATTTTGCGAAGTTGAGCCACCAGGGCACAGTTTTAGCCTGCAAATTGGTTAACCACAGGACCAATATATGTTTAATATGTAATATTCAAACATTTTCTTTTGATGTTCTCAGTTCAAATTAACTAGACTTCATCCAGATGAATAAAGAATCATCAATATGAACAGAGAAGTACTCTACTATCATGGATCAAAGGTATCAACATATATATGCGCAGACATATGTTACCAATTCAGTATTGAGATATGTGCATGGATTTTCATTGTTCAACATAGCATTACACGAGAAAGCTTGATGGCAACCCAAGCCGGCCAGAGATACTTTCCACAAACCATTATTTATAAGTCTGATAAGAGAAGCACAAGAATCACCAAAGCTAAATCACTTATGAAATTGTGATATTGTAGAGAATTGTGGTACTCTACAAAAGAAGAGAACGCATTCAACAAGAAGCAAAGAGAACAAATACTAATAATAACTACTACAAACAAAGTAAGCCCATCAACACTCTCAGCAGCCGGAAACTCATGCAAGAAACAGAGGAAAAGAACCATCTCCATACAACAAGCTTCACACTCAGCAACTTCTCTTTTTCTCTTGATTTTTTGGCTGCTTGTTATGTATCTTTTGACCCTAACTGGGTTTGTAATATTTTGGCCCTAAATGGGTTTGTAAATATCAAGAATCAGAACATGACTATCTTTGTGAATAACTTGACTGTGAACTGGAAGGAGCAAACTCAACTCAATAGAGAATTGTGGTACTCTACAAAAGAAGAGAACGCATTCAACAAGAAGCAAAGAAAACAAATACTAATAATAACTACTACAAACAAAGTAAGCCCATCAACACTCTCAGCAGCCGGAAACTCATGCAAGAAACAGAGGAAAAGAACCATCTCCAAACAAATTAACCTGTCGCGACATCAGCATTCGGTTTGAAGACACCAAATTAACCTGCAACAAACAAGGAAAAATAGACGATTAGCCATTGAATCTCAACAAAAGCATACATTATAATAATTTTTAACCTAGTATAAATGGTC